ACAGTGATTAGCTGTTCTGCTTCTTAGGAACTGGGACAGCCCTTCTGGAGAGACGATCTGGACTATAAATACGTCAGGCCATCGAAACAACCAACACACCTTCTGACCCATTTATCTCCCTCCTGGGACTCGACTCCAGCAAATCGTCCCTGCCTCCCTCCCCCACGCGGAAGAATCTGTATTCCACAAAGCCAACCGCCACAACCTTATCCGGGGCCATAAAAAAAAAAAAAGAAAACAACCTGAATGCGCAATCCGGGAGTTTCCAGAAGCACACTCAGGAAAACCAAGCACCTGGATGTGCTCCACGCGGGGAAGAGGCGTGGAAGGCAGGCCCGGGCTGCTGCAGGAGGAGAGCTGAGCACTGGAGGGAGGTGGTGCAGCGGGGGAGTCTCGTGCAGAACTTCCAAGCAATTACAAACGTTCATGAAATAAAACTTGAAGAGAAAATGGAACCACTTCTCAGCAGTGAAAACAAAAAGACACAACAGGAGAAAACAGAGACGGAAGAGGAGGGACATCTCCCCTCGGACCTGGGACCAGGCCTTGGGCTGTAACATTACACGGGGGCCGTTCTGTCAGCCCAGCATAGAGGCACTGATGGTCCCTTCCCCCCCACCCCGGAGGCCTTGCCTCAGGGCGGGAAGGGGAGGGCACATATCCTGGTCTGCCTGGGACACCTGTTTTTGCGGCAAAATTCTTGCTAACTCTCTTAGCAAGGTAACCTCAGGCTTCCCAGCTTGAACCACAGATCACAGGCGGCATCCGTCACTGTGAAGGGCGGCGCCTCTCACTCAGCAGCAGGCTGCACGCCGGGCCAGGAGCTGACCCTGCGCTTTGTAAGTCACCGAGGCAGCAACGGCTGGTCCCTGCTCTCTGGACAGGGCACTGTCTGTGCTCAGGAGCGGCCTCAGCTCCTCACTGTTAACCAGTCCTCCTCTGAAGTAGATGCAGGCAAGGCCTTCACCGGACCCCGTGCCGATCACCCTCAGTGTGTGTGTGTGGGAAGCACCCCTGGCTCTGCAGACGCCAACCGATGACGCCTGTACAGGACTCACTCAGGGGAGCGGGAAAGCGAAGTTCTCTGGGAGCCAGTGAGCAGAAGGCCGCCCACCACCCCTCCCGGCCCCCCTGCCTCCTTCCTCTGCAAGTCCAGGGGAGTGTAAGCACTTCTCACTGTGGCAAGTGGCATCATGTCAAACTGCCATTTTTAAGTGTACAGCTGGGTGAGACCGGCTCGTTCAAAGGGTTATGCCATCATCACCACCATCCACAGAACTTTTTTTTAAATATATTTTTATTGATTTCAGAGAGGAAGAGAGGAGAGAGAGAGATTCATTATGAGAATCATTGAATGACTGTCTCCTGCACAACCCTTACTAGGGATGGAGCCAGCAACCCAGGCATGTGCCCTTGACTGAAATCGAACCCGGGACCTTCAGTCTGCTCTATCCACTGAGCCAAACCAGCCAGGGCCATAGAACATTTTATCAGGCAAAACTGACACTCCACCCATTGAACAATAACTTCCCCATTCTCCCCTCCCCCCTCTCCCTGGCAACCACCATTCTACTTCCTGTTTCTATGAATCTGGCTGCTCTGGGGGCACCAATGAAATGGAATCACAGTATTTGTGCTTTTCTGTCAGCTTATTCACTTCCCACAGCGTCCGTCCTCAAGGTTCATCCACTTGTGTCGGGACTGCCTTCCTGTTTTAGGCTGAAAAATGTTCCAGTGCATCACAGCCCCCATTTCATTTACCCATTCATCTGGCAGGTGGTACCTGGGCTGTTTCTGCCTTTGGCTACTATGAATAACACTGCTATGAACATGGGTGTACAAATATCACTACAGACCCTGCCCTCAATTCTTCTGGGTATATGCCCAGAAGTGGTAGTTTTATTTTTTAACGTTTCAAGGAGCCACCACACTACTTTCCACAGCAGCTGCACCATTTTACAGTTGCATGAATAGCGCACACAAGGGTTCCAATTTCTCCACAACCCTGCCAACATCTGTCATGTTCCGTTCTTTTCGTAACAGCCGTCCTCATGGGTTTAAAGTGGTATCTCTGTGGTTTTGATTTGCATTTCCCCAAGTCAAAGTGAGATTTTGCGCTAGAAACAGGTCTAACACAAACAAATGATGGTGATAATAATGTTGTAACATGTAAGAAATGCTGGTGCCCTCAAAGTGCTATGCTGGCTGGGAGCGCTGTTTCCGGACACACCTGTGATCGGAACAGGTGCCGTTCAGAACAGACACGGACATGCACATGCGCCCGTCTCACCGTAAGGAGCCAGGATTACCGTTCCCGGCTTGGAAAACATCTGTCTCTAAACTGGAGGGAGAGAAGCTTAAGAAAACTGCAGGAGTTACAGGTGTTTGTCATAGAGACTGTGGCTGTGAAAATAGTGCAAAGGGGACAGACTGCTAAATGAAGCCTGTGCTTGTTCAGCACCTGGAAGTGGTCCGAGCAACAGCAGGCTGCCCTCCGCATACGCAAACCGGCCTGCTAAGCCCAGGCACTGTCATCTCGTCCAAACAAACCAAACACTGTAACAACTCCCTGACTGTGCTTGGCTTCACAATCTCCGAGGGTGTGGGTGTGGGAGTAGAAACGACGTGGGATTGGATGAGTTGGTGATTTTTGGAGCTAGGGTATGGGAACATGGCGTCCATTATCCTCTTTTTTAAAAAGAGAACTACTCTAAGGAAGTAGGGGTTTTGCATATCATGAGACATCTCAGCAGCCTGTGGGGCAAGCAGCAGGTAGGTGAGATCAGTATTTCATAATGAAAACACGAAGCTTAGGAGGTCACTAGTTCTAGAGAGTCCAGACTGGCCCCATGCGGGTCCCTGAGGGCTCTGCAGCCCAATTCTTAGGTCTCACGCAGACCCCCAGCTCCTGGGCAGAGGACTACAAATCACCCAGAACGCAGCAGGGAAGGGCCAAGTAGCCTCCCAGCCAGGTGCCTGGCATCCCTCCTCCCCTCCCCCGCCCCACAAACCTCCCCAGCACCTCATTTCCTGAGGGTTCCTTTTTGTCCCTTCCTGTTCTGCCCAGTGCACATCAACTGAAAATGATGAACTCTCGACCATGCGCACTGCCAATTCTGCAACACTCCCAGCAAACTGCAGCAGCCTTCAGCCACCAAACAAACGGCCACGATTCTGGACTCAGGAGCTCCACTCTGTGAATCTGGTGCCCACAAATGAGCACAGCTTCCCACGAGCAAGGACTCTGTTCTGAAAAGCCTCTGAAGACATGGGGACATCAGGACCCTGAGCCACGGCAGCGCTGGGAGAGGTTCCCTCCAGCTGCAAAAACCGGGATGAGAATCGGAGGTCAGGGCACAAGGCCAGGAGCACAGCCGGCGGGATACGACAGCTGGATGTGCAAGTGGCCGACGTGTGAGACGGCCCGCCTGGCAGGTGGCGCTCCGCCATACAGCGCTGGGGCTCTCCACACCGGGAGCAGGCAGGTCTGGAAGCCGCACACCTCAAGGACGGGACAGCCAGCGCCCCATGAGGAAGGGCCCCGAGACGTGTCTACGAAGGAACCACGTCCCATGGCGGGCCCTGCCCTACTTCAGGGCAATGACGGCGTTGGGGAAATGGCTGAGCTCAGGAAAGACCTGGGTGAACGCCCTGCCGTTGAGTTCCACCCTAATTCTCCCGGACAGAAACCCCACAACCTGGAGATACATTGTCAGGAGGTGGTGCTGTATAATCAAGGGTGGAGGCCGGGGAAGTGTCCGTAAGTCTGCCTTGTTCTCCAGAACTTCAGGCCTAACGGTGACAGAGGTCACCAGAGGCTGCGGGGAGCACTCCATGAGGTGTACGAATGTTGAGTTGCTATATTGTACACCTGAAACTGTACGATATCGTCAACTACAATTAAGAGAGGGGGGTATGCAGGAGGCAGCTGGTCAATGTTTCTCTCTCATCGACGTTTCTAGCTCTCTATTCCTCTCCCTTCCTCTCTGTGGAAAATCAATAAAATATATTTTTTTAAAAATCAATAAAATAGCCGAAACCGGTTTGGCTCAGTGATGGAGCATCCATCTGCGGACTGAAAAGTCCCGGGTTCGATTCCGGTCAGGGGCATGTTGCAGGCACATCCCTGATGGGGGGTGTGCAGGAGGCAGCTGGTTGATGTTTCTCTCTCATCGACATTTCTAGCTCTCTATCTCTCTCCCTTCCTCTCTGTTAAAAAGAAAAAAAAAAATCAATATAAAAAATAAAAAATAAAAAAGTAGAACATGACTCCATCCTCACTGAGAACTGGATGGTCCTACCTGACCGGGCTCCTTCGTGCCCCTGTCCTCACTGCCTCCTCTCCTCTGCGCTCACTCAGCGCCAGCCACATGGCCTTCTCCTCGCACCAGGCATATGCCAAGCTCACTCAGGCCTGGAGTTTTCTTCCCCAGATCCCCACGTGGCTGTCTCTTCACTCACATCCAGGTCTCGGTCCACAGGTCCCCTCCTCGGGATGTTCTTTTCTGAGGTCCCCAGTCCAGGAGCCGTCCCCCTCCCTCTCCACTGCTCAGGAGCTAATGCCACTCCTGGTCACACACGGCACCGCAGGGCAGGACTTTGTGGCCCTTACCCAGTCTAAGCTTCCAGAGCCAGGACAGGGCCTAGCCCACAGGCTGATGCAAACAAAACACCCTGCCCGGATGACTCCCTGCAGCAGTGATGGGGGAGAAAAATATCTGAACCAGAGCCCCAAGCCATCCTGAGCCCCAAGGCTGGGGTAGCCTGGTATTCAATCACCAGAATGCCTGGACCGCTCAGTCTGGTTTTCCATCACCGGGGCCTTCCCCATCACAGCACTGAAGGGTCTATTTAAAAACCTGCTGCTAGAGCAGGGCTCATCAGCCCTACCCACCACCCCACGCAGCCTCAGAGGGCCTGGCAAATCCAAAGCACGTGAGGAACCATGATTCACTAGCGAAGCACTAAGCAAGGGAAGGCGGCCGCTCCCATGCACTCACCCAGAAGACGATGTTGTAACTGAAGAGCAGGTACTTGTACCAGCAGCTGACCTCAGCGTTGGAGTATCTATAATAGTGCATCTTCCGAGAAGCAGGACCTGTGGAGAGAGAGACGTGGGAGCCATGAAGCAGCAGGTTCAGCTTCAAAACATTGGCAGTGAGGACACCACCGGCCCACAACCACCAGTGAGAAGCTGCCGAGTGGCTGCTGTGCACGCCCTGTTCTGAGAAAGGGTACCCAGCAGGGACGTGAAGCCACATCCCTCTAGAAATGGGCAGAGGGACTGCTCACCACCCCTCCCACAGAGCCACAGAGCGGGATCCACAGCCCCAGCCGTGGTCACCACCATTCGCCCCGCCCCACCTGCCAAGAGGAATGGGCGATGGTCAAAGGCCTGCCTGGGCAAGTCCCCCTCCCCTCCCCCCTCCCCCCTGGTCAGCCAGGCCTCAGCATCCTCAACTAAAACAGGGCTGGTCCCTAATGTCACCTTAGTGGTTGGTCCCTAATGTCACTAGTGTTGAGGAAACCAGCTGGCAGCATCAGAATTATTGGTTCTAAACACAGATTTGAACCAAGAGATCACGGTTTGATTCCCAGCGGGGGCACATGCCTGGGTTGCAGGCTTGATCCCCAGTAGGGGGCGTGCAAGGGACAGCTGATCGATGATCCTCCCTCATCACTGATGTTTCTATCTCTCTCCCTCACCCTCCCTCTCTGAAATCAATAAAAATATAAAAATAAATAAACACAGTTTTCAGGGCCCTACTCTCTAGAAGTTCTTCCCCTACTTGTTGATTCCTCCCTGCTGAAAGAGAAGGTACTCGACTCACTAGCAGGAAGGGGCAAGCTGGCCCCAGCCTGCAGCCCAGTCCTCCCCCACAGAACCTTGGAGCTGGGAGGGAAGGCTGCCTCGTGCCCCCGCTCTGCTCCGTTTTGCAGGCCAGGGCTGGAGAAGCAGAGCCTGAAGGTCAGGGTCGCACACAAGAGGGGCCCAGTGTCCACATGAGCACAGCCCAGAATTTAAATGGAAGGAGGTAAGCAGACTTGTTTGGACTCCAGCCCGAGCCACATCCTCCTACCCGGGGCCGCTGGCCGGTTGGAGGGAATACAGCCAACGCCGAGCTCAGCCCTGTGCCTTCAAACCTCAGCGAAGGATGAAAGATTGATGAGCACCGCTGAGCTGCCAACCTGAGGTGTGAGCCACATTCACAAAGCCCCAAGAAGCCAATAAAGGCCGTGGTGCTGAAACTGCAACCCAGATCAGACCCAAACCTCAGCGAAAACGACTCCAAAGCGGCTGTCATCCCTGACATTTCATCTCATTTGCTAAACTGAGTCACATCAGAGGAACTTAGCTCTCTCCCAACTAATGAATTCAATTAACACCAAACCCATTTACCTTAAAGCACACGCGGACTGAGTCTGCGCTTCCTAAAAGAAGATGCATGAGCTCATTACCACCGCCAACACAGAAGGCTCTCCAAAAGCTATTTTGTGGGGGCTTCTAGCATTAAAAAACAACTCTCAGAAAAATGTAATGTCACATCCTCCAACCGTCTCCCAAATCCAAAACATTAAAACAGAATAAACCATTTATGAGGCAAATAGAAGGCAAGTGTTTAAAATCAACGTCTCTAAACATTAGGGAAAGTTAGCATCACTTAACTGCGGAGATAGCTGGGACTAAATAATAAGCCAGAATCCCTCTGAACACTGCAGGCTGCATGTAGGTGCACAGGCATGCATACACGCACATACAAACACACACACACACACACACACACACACACACACGCCCATGCACACTGAGAGAGCAGGATTTCAGGCCTCCGTTGACCTTCACTTTTGAGTCAAGAGGGGGGAAAAGCCAAAGAACAAAAATATCAATATAAAACATAAAAAGTTTTAACATTCCCATACAATTAAAAGGTACACTAAAATAAAAAAAGAAAACATAAATGATGTTATCAGCAGCAATTATAACAAAGGGTAAAAATTAACAACAAAAATTCAGACTTAAACCAAAACACTTGAGTTTTAGAAAGGACAAAGGAAATGGATATTATACTGAAATGTAGTTACCAGACGGAAAAATATGCAACGTCCCCGGAAATAAAACTTAAAGACAATCCAGAGATGTTATTTTGCACCTTTTAATTTAACAAGATAACCACCACTGTGGCTGCCAGCCCATGTGAGGCTGGTTAGTTCAAAGTAGCAGACTAAACTGTTACCACTCTTTCCTAAGCAACACATTCAACCCCCTCCTCCCCAAAATGGTCATACCCCTAATCCAATAAATGCATGACTAAGAATTTGCCTCAAGAAAATAAACCAAGAGAATAAAAAAAAATATGCATCAAGTATGAAATCTGCACATCACAGCTTGCAATTATGGAACCATTTGTAGGCATGTGGTTAAAGGCCCAAATGGAACATGAGAACATGAACATGGCTGCATGGGGTGTACATTTAAAAGTGATTTTCTAAAAAGGTTTCCACTGATACACTCACCATGACGACGTTTGTATTATCAGTGTACACGGAGCCTTTGCTACTGCTGGAGGGGGGCGGGCATGCCCACTTGGAGGACGCTGCCTCCCCCCCACCCCCAAGAGTGGTGACCTCAGCAGTCACTGTGAACAGGGCTTGTCTACCTTGGGATTGTGTTAACCTATAAAATCCCTCCTCCTCTTCTGCCTGTCATTTTTAAAAAAATATTTTTATTGATTTTTTTACAGAGAGGAAGAGGGATGGATAGAGAGTTAGAAACATCTATGAGAGAGAAACATCGATCAGTGGCTCTGCACACCCCCTTCTGGAGATGTGCCCGCAACCAAGGTACATGCCCTTGACCGGAATCGAACCCGGGACACTTCAGTCTGTAGGCCGACGGGCTCTATCCATTGAGCCAAACCGGTTTTGGCCTCCCTGTCATTTTTAAAAAATATTTTTGCTGATATTTGGAGAGAGAGAGAGAGGAAAGGAGGAGAAAAACATCGATGTGAGAGCAAAATATTGGTCAGCTGCCTCCAGCACGCTTCCTACGGGGGGATGTAGCCTGCAGTAACCCAGGCATGTGCGGGAATCAAACCTGCAACTTCTCAGATGCTTGGGACAACTCCCAGCCAACTGAGCCACACCAGCCAGGACTCATCCTGTCATTTTAATTACAAAAGTAGCACATTTAATCATAAAATATTTGTAAAGAACAGGAGTGTAAAGGTGAACTGGCAATGAGAAAACACTGCAAACGGCTCTCACACTGTTTGCCACGGCCCACACACAGAAAGCAACAACAAAATCAATCCAGGGCACACGTACTTGCATACTCAACTAAAATGAGTTTCATGAAACAATGCTTCCCCTCATTACATGGCATGCATTCTAGACTTGCTGTGGTTTGAATTTTTCTCTTTTTCAGAGAAAAAAATTATCCCTGCATATGATCCAAGAATCAACTATTGTAAAAGCTGTGCTGAGAGAAAGAGCAGGGCCGAGGCCCCGGCCAGGCCTCCCTTTCCCGGGACACTTTCAGCTTCTCACCCATCTCCATGTTGTCAGAGACAAAATCACAGGCCCAGCAGGCCTCACTTGTGCTCCGATCCCTTTGTGCCAAACCGAGTGTTAACACCTGATCTAACTGCAGTTTCTACTTCGGCCAGAAACATGATCTTAATTAACCAGGCCTGGATTTTCTGGTCAAGCACCAGTAAGGTAATCTGCCACAGGGGCCCTCCGGTCCCCATAGAAAGCAGAGGCAATATGCATGATAAAAACCCTCTCACTTCCCCCAAAGAAAACATTTTTAGGCCCTAAAATAATTATTTCTTTTGTTAATAGCTCCCTCATCTCCCCTCCCCGCCCCCATAAAAACCTTCCACTTTGTAAAATGCCTCAGAGCACCCTTCAGGCAGCTGTATGGGATGCTGCCTGATTCATGAATCGCTTAATAAAGCCAATTAAGTCTCCAAATTCACTGGGTTGAATTTTTTTTTTCTAATAATGCTTACACCCCAAATATCTCTTAGAAATTTCTGTATATAATATGCTTGTATTACTACCCCTGATTTTTCCATTGTAGTTATTACTTATCCACTTCCTACCCTGGAAAACAAGAATATAACTACTCTCTTTTCACTCCTACAAACCACCTCTCCCCTAAATCACTGCCTCACACTTCTTTCCCAATTACAGTTAAGTCCAATTATAGTTGTGTTGTAGGCAGTTACACAGATGAGAGCAAAGCAAGAACACGGACCTGGTGCAGAAGGTCACGGGGGGGGGGGGGGGGTGGAAAACACCAGGTGCCCAGCAATCAATGGCAGGGTGGGACCTTGCCCCCAGGGTGACTTTTCCTCCCCCAGAATATCGCTGGTCATGAGGTTTGGACCCCTGAACCTTCCTCCCTAGAGATAACAGCTAGGCCTCAGTTGTATTTTGGCTCCAGGCCCAGAGAAGCAACAAAACCAGCCACTGCTGACGTCAGGACCAGATGAATAATGACCCTGCCCTGGTGCCAGCCCATCAGGAGAGACCACAATGAACGGGCACACCTGGGAAGCGACTGAATATTCTGTGAAGATCTTCCCCCTGGGACCTCCCCTAAAATCTCCATCCTTAAAACCTTCTGGAGGACCAGTGCCCTCTGCCTCCAGGGAGCATGTGCATGCCTTCCCTTTCCCCTCCCCCAGCTCCCTACCATTGGTTTCCTCACTCCCATTCGGAGGGCCCTTCCTTACCTCCATACTTGTTTCCTAAGCCCATTTATTCTGGGAATGACTTCTTCTACCTCTGTAATTTACCAAATCAGTGTTCTCTTACAGTTCCGAATTCGTTCCCAGCCATGACCTACCCAGGTTGTAGAACCCTGGTTTGGTCAGACCCCACTGGTCAGACAACCTGGTGCCGTTCCACTGCCTACAACGGTTAAAACTATAGCTTTGGGTAGAGAAATTTGCAGAGTTTACATTGTTATGGCCGATTGAGCAAGCCTTAATTTCTTTTCGTGTACAGCATTTTGTTCTCTGGAATTAATAATTCTGATTTTTCTATTTGCTTACTTTTTGGTGAATTTATT